TATTCTACAAAGAGTAAACCCTAACATTAACAATGAACTTAAACTAATAAGAATCTATCAATATTGGCTGTAATCAATGTACCACACCAATGCAAGATGGCAGTGATAGGGAAACTGCGGTCTCTGCGCTTTTTGTTCCATTTTTCTATGAACCTAAAATTGCTCTGAGAAAGTCTTAATGTTAATGGCTACTACAAGCCATGGATGTGGCCTCTATTGCGGGTACTCGAGGGAAGCAAATTCCAGGCTACCTCGTGACTTCCAGCTGACAGCAGACCAGTCACCTGCGTGAAAATTAAACTGGTGTCCGTCCACCTAAATCAAAACCACAGATTAGGACTGACGACCACAAATTAACAGGACGAGCAACACACAGGGGTCCAATTTGCTTTCGGCATCAGGAAAAGCCTGGAAGAGCCAGGAACAGTGAACCTAGGAGAACCTAGAAGGGAGCCCATCTGCCGAGGAGAGAAAAGCAGGGGGGCGACCTGCCGTTGGGAGTCACTTCTGACCTTCACCCTCACTGTCCAGCCCTGTGCCCCTGGACCAGCGCCCTTCATGGAGGCTTGTCCACGCCAGCCGCTCAAACTTCTCACCTATCAGCTGTGTGCAGAGGGGAGTGGAAGTGACCGTGCCGGGGAACAATTCGGAAAGGTGGACTCGGGGACGAAAATGCACAGCTTGGTTCACTCTGGCTCCAGATTCTGTCATGAGGCAGCATGACCTGCCTGGGGAAAATTGCACAGGTCCAGAAGTCAGAAGCCTGAAGCTCAGCTTCACTGCCTGGACAGCCAGGCTCTTTCCCCTAGCTGCAATGCTGGGGTAACAGATGCCCAGGGGCCTCAAGGTTAGAGCTGGGATGGACCCATCTTGCAGGTGAGGCAAACAAAGTCCAGGGAGATGAAACGCTTGCACAATTTTGCACAGCTGGGTGGCAGAGGGACTTGCCACAGAAGAATCAGAACAAATATAACCTGTGTGAAATGTTTAGGATAGTTAAACACCCTGGCTAAAGGGAAGCTGTTGTTACTATCCATCTTTCCACTCCTTGTTCCTGTTCTGCTCTACGGGGAGCCTCTCCTGTGAGAGTGGGCTCTTGGCAAGGGTCAGCTCTGTCAACACCACCAGCTGCTGTCCCAGGTTACAGAACCAGGGATGGGAGGAAGCTCTTGGCCCCAGAACTGTGACCTGGAAGGGAGCCTAATTGGCTCCATTCACCCCTGGGCACTTCTACACTCCAATGGCAGGAGGCAACAAGGCTTCCTGGAGAAAAGGAATATGTTTTGTGAATAATAATTCCATCTTTAATCCATGAAGCTCACCAGGCCAGTAATCTGCTAAGCACTTGAGAAAAACTCATCTGGCTTTTGCTTCAGCAGACCCATGGCAAGCTTCAGTTCATCCAGTTGCCAGACCTTTTGTCCTCTCACCAGCTTAACTAATGTGCAAACATATTCCCAAACAGCCTCCAAAACAGATTATGACCAACAGACTGGAGAATGACGCAAATGTAGGCCATCTACATAAGTGAAACAAGTTGAGTCCAAAGGGCTCGCGTTTGTGTGACTTACATCACGGAGGTGGGCGACATCCACAGGACTGAATTCACAATTGCTGGCATTAGCAATTTAACCCAGTTCTTTCTTGACCCAAGCCTTGGGTGGATCTAGTCCTTTCACTTCAAGAGCCCCCACCCGACACCCACGCCCCAGTCCCCCGACACACACACAGATGGCAAAGCCACCACCACACATTCCTCTCTTCTTTGGTGGTCCCACTGGGACACAAGTCCATTGGCATAATTAGGAGGACACCAGAGATGATTCAGCTCCATGTATTTTTTATGAAAAATGAGTCAATAATTTTTTTTCCTCCCCACACTCTCCCAAAGAAAGGGACTAGAGCAGAGGGCGTTGCAATCTTAGATTAGCAACGCCACAACAGAGCATGGCCAAGAAGACAGCAGACAGTGGATGGGAAACCATTAATTGGAATTTTTCCACCCAGCCACACCCAGGTTCAACAGCTGAGGCGCCCTTCGTGCCTTCCCCAACCTCCTCTAAGCCCCACCAATCTTCCATTTCCACTAATTTAATGGTGCCTTTCAACAAAAGGCCTATGCCTGGAAAACCATGCTGGGTCTGTCCCTCCGCGAGCATCCTCAACTGCCTATCTCATCACCAACACAGCTGTTCTGGGGGGGAATGCAGAGGCCCACCTCATTGTACACAGTGCCCAACGTCCCCACCACTACCAGGCCAAGGGCTGGGCCACAGACTTTGGAAGCTTCTTGGTCAGTTTTGACTCAACTGTGTCCATCAGCGTCTTGTCCCTATTTTATCCACTCTGTCCCATGAAGAATAGAGAGGAGTCAGAAGGGGACTCATTATTGCCATAGCCATATATATGATTTGCTGTATCATCTCGAGTGAGTCACATTCCCCCTGCGTCTGTTCCCTTATTTGTGAGCTGAGAGGGTTGAACTGGATGACCTTCATGGTCCTCCTGGTCTCTGAACCCTCATCCCATCCCACCTCCCTCCCATCCCCCCTGCAGGTAGGAGCTCAAAGTGCTAGGCTTCCTGTTTTTATCATCAGCTCGGGGAGGTAAGACGAATGCAGATGAGATTTTAGAACTCACCAAACTCACTTTGCAGCTAGCAGGGAACTCAAAACAATCCACTGCCCAAATGCCCAAAGATAGCATGATCCCCAAGGTGTAGATAAGAAAACTGATCCAGAGGCTAAATGGCATGCACGAAGTCCCAGCTGTGCTATCAGGTGATACCAAAGGGCCAGAAGCCAAATCTTCAGTTCCCTGGCGCTGACTCCCCCACATCACAACCAATGTTATGAAAAGGCACTGTTTCGGGTGGTAGCCAAAGCTTGAAATAGATATCACTAAACGTAAAATCAAGTCTTCACGGAAGCAAATCATAACAATAGCCCCTTAATACTCATATTATTATTTATGACCGAGAGATGGTAAGGAGAACTTCGATGCTGAACCCTTTCCAACTAGAAAGCTATGGATAACTGGCATTTTTCCTATCCGCCAACCTATTTCATGACTGCGGAAATCGGAAACCACATCAGGGGTACTCACAATTGATGGCAGAGGACTTCCAACGTGACACACACAGTGCTTGAGGGGAGGCTCTCTGCTTTGCTAACCGACAAGGTAATCTTGACACATTTACGAATATGTTTATGGCTTGCCTGTGTTTAACAAGAACCTGTGAAAACCGGAGCACTGTTCTCTTTATCTGCAAATTTTCAATGCCTTTGCTCCAAATAGCAAATGGTTTATTTTAAAAACTCGAGAGGTTTTTTTTTTTTAAAGTTAAATTTCATTTCCCATATGTGTGTAAGAAGCTCTTTTAGGTTGAAATAATTCCGTTGCGTTGTCTAAGCCAAAATGATCATATTTTCCTCACCAACTAACATAAAATCTTCTAGAAATGGGCTCACAGAGAAAAATATCATTCCCAGTGTGTCCTCAAATTCACACTAAAGAATCCCAACATTCACTTTAGGGATGTTTTGTTCTTGTAAATGATCAGTCTCACTCATTTAATCCCCTTACAAAATCCACACAAGCCACCCAGAGCACTATTCCCTGGGATTTCCAAGTATACTAAAACACAGCACACAGATAAAAGCAGGGTTTGTTCTGAGTTTAGAGCATCTGAACATCAGCTCCTCTTCTCTGGAGAGGGAAGGGCTAGGTAGCTGGGTTCCCACCGAGGAAGCGGCTGAAGTCCTCCCCCAATCTGATACTGACCGGAAGGCCAGGAGGCATCATTATGTCCCCAGCAAGTCGGAGACACTGGCCAGGCCTTGTCTTGGCAGGGAGCTGGCTGTTGCTTCCAATTATTTCAAGGCTAGTTACACTAGCCCTCTAGCCCTGAGAGTGAATCTTGCCTCAACTCAACTTCCAGATGGCTTCCTGAATTACCCACCCAGTTAACACCCCAGCCAGACTGAGACTTCTGGGACCCTCTGTAATCCAAGGCAGTGAGGGCCCACTGCTCTATAAGGCTGAAGATTTACCAGACGAACTACCTTATCTTCATCCATTTGGAGGATCAACGAGGCAGGAGGAAAAAGGAAGAACAACTCCCATAGAACACTGAAGCTGGATAAGAATCTGACATTTTCCTTTGCGATGACTTGATGTCCTCGCTTCTTCAAAGGAGAAAATCACCTGAACCAGGCCAGTGGACCCTTCCTTATGCAACATGTCGCAGGCACCCATTCGTTCATTGACTGCTTGAGCATGTCCTAATTCCAACACACTTACAGAGCATTTGTCTCCTTTTCATTCCTTCCACTGCTTGCAGGACTAACCATCCAAAGCAGCATCATCCAGCAATAGTACTTACCCCCCTCCTAGTCACAGGGCCAGACTTGGCCGTAGCCTGACTACCTCAGCAAATTTACACAAGGGAGAGTATGGACGACTGAATGCCATTGGTCACCGCCAAAACTCATTTTAGCACAGAAACAACTTCTTTTTCCAACATTTACCAAGAAAAAAAAAAAAAAGCAAGCAAACTTGGGGGGAAAATAGCATCCCTGTTGCCAGGAGTTAATTAGTTATGAAACAGCCAAAAGTCAGCAGCAGGTGACAGAAAAATCCCCATAATTAGAATAATCAATAGGTAGACATTCAGCAATTGCATACCAAGTGAAAGATTCACCCGCACAGTGGCGATGCATGCCTGCGTCTGCAGCCCCACCACCCCAAGCCAGTGGCTTGCACGCCACATGAAATAAAAGGGAAGCCTCTGGTCTCTTCCACACCCATTCACAGACATGCAGGGCCTCCAATCCTCCAAAGGACAAAAACAGCAGGCGAGAATATCTATCAAGCATGCTCCCTCTGTTCCAAACATCAGCCATGCCAGTTTCCACCCACATAATGACTCTTCTGTTGACCACCCACATTTATTCAACTTTCAAGACATGACAACAAGGTCTGAGATTTGAGGCATGTACCTGACTCTCTCTCCCCTCCAGGGGTGGTGGAATCTGATCAGCAAAACCAATCTTCCCTGGATCACCCATAAAGGCACTAACCTCATCCACGTTCTCAAAAGCGTTGATGACATCATATGGCAAACAGGACAGAAGGTCAATCACAAACCACGTCTTCAGGTAGTTCATGCGGATGAGTTTGGGGTCAGAGATCACCTCCCCAGCTGGTCCAACAAAGGTAGTATGAAAATTCAGCACAATGTCCACCAAAAAGATGACATCCACGATGCTATCCACAACCAGCCAGGCCACGTTGTTCTGCCTGGTTTTAAAGGAGACGTTGTAAGGGACCAGGATGGCTGTGTAGAAGGTTAAAATCAAGATGATCCAATCCCACGTGGTCTTAAAAACACAGTAATGTAAGATGATGTGAGGCGGAGTCTTCGGGGCCTCTTGCTTGTACTGGGGAAGGATGTCTGAGCCCAGCTGCAGAACCTGCAGAAAAACACAGTCAAGAGAGAAGTAAGTTAGGATTCCACTGCAAGCATCTAACCAGTCAGCGTCTGCCACTGACAAATGCTCATGACACTCCAGATGGATCATTAGGAGCAAGAACAGGTACTAGAGGATGGGAGAATGGAAATGAACATTATAATACAAATAATTATAAGGAAACAATGACAAACTATTATTTGGCTTATTGTGAGCCAAGCATTGTACTAAGTACTTCCCCTACACGTATTATCTCACTTAATTCTAATTACAACCTTGTACCGTTAGCCAATTATTATTCCGTGTGACAAGGGAGAAACTGAGGCCCCAGAGAATTAAGCAACTTTACTCAACAAGTATTTACTCTTCTGTGCCAGGAACTGTTCTAGACACTGGATGGACAGCAAGGAAGGAAACAGCATGATGCCTGCTCTCGTGGAGCTTGGTCTAGTAAACGAATCCAGATAACTTCAAATTGTGGGAAGAGCTAACTAAGAGGCAAGGGTGGGGACCTGGTGACTGGATAGAATGTGACATGAGGAGCAGGGAAGGGACAGCGTTTGAACTGAAACCTGAATGAATGACAACCAGAAACCAGCCACTCAAACTTGTAAGGGAAATTATCCGAGGCAGAGAGCATAATTGGCGTAATGACCCCAGGGCGGGACAAGCTCGATGTTCTCAGGCAGAGAGAGAAGTCTGGCATGACTGAAGCCCACTGGATGCGGGGGAAAAGGATGTCAGAAGTGATCAGAGGAGAAGTGGAAACCAGACCACGCAGGACCTAGTGAGCCATGAGGAGAGGTTGGACTTCATTCTCAGTGTGTCCGAGCATAACCGGAGGGGTTTAACAAAAGAATATTAATCTGGTGCATGTTTTTAAAAGATTACCCTGGCTGCTGTGTAGATAATGAATTGAGGCAAATAATTAGAGGGAAGAACAGAATCAAGGAACTTATTCTAACAGCCTGGAAAGAGATGAGAGGATGGGGAAAAGTAGCCCAATTTTTTGATATATTTTTGAAGTTAACCAGCTGATGACTTGCTCATGGCCAGAAAGTAAAGCAAAGGGAGCAATGAAAGGTACCCACTACTTGATCCCCAAACCCAGCGTGGTGGCTGGCCCAGAGTCAGCACTACAGGATGGTTTTTAAGTGGATGACTGAACGTCAAGGTCATACAGCTAGCAAAAGATGGAACCAGATCCCCAACTAGGTCTAGCTGGATTAGAAATACATGCCCTTCCACATTGAGGTTACATTTCCCTAAGGAACAGACTTTTAAAGATGCCGACTCATGAAGGATGAAGTCCAGAGAAGCTTGGCTCCAAGAAAGTATCACAGATGGGTTTCATCCTCAGTAGTCAAAAGCAAAAAGCCACACTTTCAGAGGCCAGGCCAAGCCGAAAGGGACCCTCACCCCCAACCCTGAGCTGCTCCTCTGGGCCACTTATGGGTTCTTATAAATCTCTGGGTGAAACTTCCTCTTGTGTCCTGGGAACTTATTTTTCCCTCTAGAGGACATAAAGACCCCTTAGTGAGTAATCTGAAAATCCCTGTCTCCTCTACAGTTGGCCCCAGACCTTAAAAGGTGAGTAAAAGAAAGCCAGAAATCCACCGAGTGCCCAATGTGCATCTTTGCATATGGGAACTGTTTCCACCCCTCCCACCCATGCACAGACTTCTCCTAGGCTTGAGCTTTTAATTTCTCTTCCCATGAAAAGAAATTTATACAAGCATGATTAAAGAAGCTTGGGCCCTGAGATCTCAAGGCAGGAAAAGGGACTGACTTAGAAGAATAAAGCCAGGGGGGGCAGAGCAAGATGGTGGAGGAGTAGGAGACCTGAATTACGTCTCCTTTCAGGAATTCAGCTGGATAGGGATCAAACCATTCTGAACACCTACAAACTCAACAGGAGATCGAAGAAAAGAATAGCAACAACTCTCTCATCAGAAAAGCGACCACTTTCTGGAAAGTAGGACGTGCGGAGAAGTGAATCCGAGGCGATATTCGG